CCGTTGGGCGAGCTGCAGCCGCCGGCTTCCCTTTTTTTCAGTTGTCCAAGTAAGCTTGGAAACTGCAAGGTTTAATCGGATTTTGGGTTCAGGGATACCCTAAACCCTAAACCCTAAACCCTAAACCCTAAACCCTGAACCCTGAACCCTGAACCCTATAAACCCCTTGTAAGCTGTAGTTTGTCTTTTCTTTCCAGGATGTAGGCCGACTTGGGCCTCGACGGGTGTTGGAGATGGTGGGGCTTCGGGTGTATTCCGGGGTTTCTGGGCTTCTGGGGTTAAAACAAGGGTTTAGGGTTTAGGGTTTAGGGCTTGCAGTTTCGGGTTGACAGTGTCGGGTTCAGGGTCCACAGTTTCTGGTTTGATGGTTCTGGGGACTTTTTATGGTACAAGTATATCATTACCTTGGCCTACGCCTACGATACCCTACTTCGTCGTGCGCTTGAGGAAAGAGTTCCGCTCGGAGGATATGAACCACGCGACATCGCACTGGCCATGGCTGTAACTGTACATGGATTGTCGGTCGCATCTGGGGATAGGTTTGAAGTGAAAACCACATGCCACGTTCACTGCTGGAGTTAAGCCCATCCCGCAGAGCTGGCAATCATCAGCCAGAAACTACAGCCAACAACCTACAACCTCTTCCAGCAAAACTTCCGCAGCTCCGACATCCTAAGAGCTCGGACCATGAACTCGAAAACCCGAAACCAGGAATCCTAAGACCACAAAGCCATGTATCCCTACGCCGTAAGACTCCGAACTCAAGACCCCGAAATCCGAAGATTCATGAGCCATGCAGCCCAAACCCATCTAAAACAAAGGTGAAGACCACATCTCTAAACAGGTGAAGACCACGTCCTGATACTGTAAAGCCCGAAACCCTAAAACTCTGAAGTCTTCACTCAGAGGCCGGCAGGCAAAAGAACAAACCATTCTCCGTCACTTCTTTCACAGCCTGCAGGCCTCACCATCCACGGGTTTAGGGGGTTTAGGGGGTTTAAGTGACATAAACCACAGGTGGGTCCCCAATATCGCACGGCACCCTTATAAAAGGGGCCCTAACTTAGAGAACTACCCAGGTAGCTTCTGCTGTCATTGTGAGCTCAAGGTGTTACCTGTGTTGTTGGTTCGACCTCGCAGTGTTTTTGAATGGAAAACGCTTAGGTGAGATCCCTCTCACCGCCGCTTCAAGCCGGTGAATGTCAATGCCCAAATTGTTGATGTGCAGTTGTTTCCTCCGTTTAGGGTTTAGGTTAGGGTTTAGGGTTTAGGGTTTAGGGTTCCTCCGGGGGGGAGGGGGGGAGGGTAGTGCGGTCAGCAGGTGAGCTCACCGGCAAGCTCATCTTTGTGATGGCTCTGGAAGTGAACCTTCAAGTCATGTTGCTGTTGGATCCTGTGTGAGGCATCTTGCCTGAAACATGTGATAAATCCTAAACCCGAAACCCAAAACCCGAAACCCTAAACCATAAAACCAAAGTCCAAATAGATGACCGCCAAACCTTAAACGGCAGGGTTCTGAAGGGTTGGGAGTCTAGCGAAGGACCGGACTTGAGTGGCTTGCCCTGAGGGTGCAAGTGCCTGATATTCAGGGAGCTACAAGGGTTGAAAAGGTTTTCTAAGGCATCTATACGGAATCTACAAGCGGTTTGTGAACTGTAACCCAAGGAGTGGAGTGGAGTGCAGGAAGGGTTGGACAAGCAGTGTCCAGGAGTTCAAAGATTGAGGATTCAGCTTAGTAGGCTTTGGAAAGGTTCGGGCTTTAACAGGTTTCGAAATTGGAGGTGCAGGACTTCGGACATAATGTTTTGGATGTTAGGTTCAGGGCGCGATGCCGGATACAGTATGACCAAAAATCCTAAACCCTAAACCCTAAACCCTAAACCCTAAACCCTAAAAAGGCACGCTCAGTAAGCTCGCAGTCTCAAATCCAGAACAGCCCGGGGCTCAGCTCAACCCTGTGCCTGGTCACAGGCAGCCCTTGGCTCTGCCGACCCCTGCTGTGCCCACTTCAAAATTACGGCCCCTACATTAAGTTCCTTATTGTAATTATAGGGTTTAGGGTTTAGGGTTTAGGGTTTAGGGTTTAGGGTTTAGGGATTCTAATTATAGAATAATTTACCCCCCAAAACCCTATTCTGATTATTACGGCCCCTACGTGGGTAGTTCGCTAAATCAGGGTCCCCTTTTGCGTCCCAAATATAGTACGGCACCCTTATAAAAAGGAACCCTAAAAGGGACCCTATTTTAGAGAACTGTCCAGAAAATCAAGCTTACATCTTTCGGACGTCAACTTGGCCTGTCTGCCTGTCCCTGAGGTACTATATTTGGGACCTAAAATGGGACCCTAATTTAGAGAACTATCCACATTAGTGGCTTATGTCCCCCAAACCCCCTAAACCCAAGCCCTTATAGAACCCTTTAAGGAAGCCTTTAAAGGAGCCCCAAGACCCTATTCAAGCTTTTTTAAGGCCCCTACAAAAAGTGGGAACCCCTGGGGGCGTGGCAGCTAAGCCCCGCCCATCGAGACATGAGCCGAACCACAGCAACGGCCGTGTGAACCTGAGGGGACGGTGGGGTGTAGGGTGTAGGGTTTAGGGTTTAGGGTTTAGGGATCAGGGTAGGGTTTTGGGTTTGGGGGTCAGGGTGTCTGTTTTGAAGTTGGGATGGGTTTATAGGGTTTAGGGCTTGTTGTTGAACTCCTTCTTGCGACTGCATCCTTAGCTGAAGTTACAGCTTGCCGACTCCTGGCCCATGTTTAGGGTTCAGGGTTTCGCGCTGAGGGACAACTGAGCTCTTGCGGCATAGCAACAAAGTGAAGTACAATGATGAACCCTCAAGACTCAAGACGAGTAGTACTGACTATTCAGGTTTCTATATAGACTACAGGGTTTAGGAACCCAGTCTGCTCGTAGGGACTCCGGCTTAGAGAGGTCTACGTTTTTTTGTATTATGCTTTGGGGTTTCGGGATCAGGTTCTGGGTATCAGTGTTCAGCGGTGCAGGGGTTGGGCTTTAGAGGGATCAGGGAACAACCGAACATGCAAGAAGCTTGCGCTCTGCGAACGGTTTCAGAAAGACCCGGGGAGGTGGTGGAGCTGGTGCTGGTGCTGGTGTTGTGCCCGGGAGCTGCAACAACAGCACACGGCTTAAACTGCCGACCTCAGCGCAAGAGCTTCTCGATGAGGTACCAGGGGTTCCTTCCAGCCCGGTGGAGGGTGGTCAGGCTGGCTTGGCCGTTTGACATCGCAGCCGGCGTCAGGCAAAAGCGCGCGGCGCTTTCGTGCTGCAGCCGGAAGAAGGCTTTCCACCTCGACGTCCAGCACCAGCACGCTTTCAGGCTGCGAAGTTCCGTCCAGCGCCACCACGTGTGGCTTGTCCTTCAGCCACTTGGACGCGCATGAGGAAGGGTTGCCTATGAACCGGGCCGTGAGCCCTAAACCTCCTTAATGAGAACAATAACAGTTATAACAATAATAAATAGGCACTATTGTAAGGGCACGTATTTGATAGTATCCTTGAATATTCAGACCTTGATTCTTCTTGTGAGTTACAAGGACAAAGGGAGTCAAGTTGGTTTTCGCAGCGTAGGGCTTTGGGGCCTCGCAAGCTGTACAATCCACGCTTGATGCCAAAATCCCATGGGGTTTTAGGATTTAAGGTTTAGTATTTAGAGTTTACGGTTTAGGGTTTAAGGGTTTAGGATTTTATAGCGAACATCACTAAGATAGGGTTCAAAACTCTCTTCAAGCCCTGCAAGGATGGGTGTGTATCAACCAGGGGTCTGACATTGGACACTGCATTTTGGATGGGCACGTTGGGCTCAGGACTGAGGAGGCCTTCAGCACTAGAATATGTTTCAATACTTTACAAATCCTACCTGGACCCTAAAGAACCTAGGGTTCTCTAAAATGACTTCCTTATAGAAGTCCTGAAAAAAGTAGGTTATTTGAGGGTAAGGTAAACCCTAAAAATAGAATTGGCCGGCTATGTTTGCAGCTTCCACGTCCTGAACTCCTTGCACTAAATCCTCCAGACTTTGGTCGAGCATAGCCACACACGCCTTATACCTAAGATATGAGCAAGAAGCCCTCGAGAATCCTGGACCCTCAATTGTCCTAAATCTACAACCCTGGACCCTAAAACCTAAAGCCAAGGAGAGCTGATAGGTATATCTCTGGCCCCGAAATCCCTCCACGAAAACCCTCGCAACACCCTGTCAAGCCCTACAATCAGGGGCAAACCCTAAAAACCCTAAGGTCTACCAGAAGATCTCAACATTCAACAGCCGACGACTGAGCATCACACATTGGCGCTTCGGGTATCGAACCTGGTCTTTGAGTATATACATATATATATATATATACTAAACCCTAAACCCTAAACCCTAAACCCTAAACCCTAAACCCTAAATACTATAGGGGCCTTCATGATGCGAATAGGGTTTTGGGGCACCTTGACAGGGTTCCTTCAAGGGTGCTATAAGGGCTACCATGAGGGTTTAGGGTATAGGGGCCTTAGTAATTAGAATAGGGTTTTGGGCTCCTTGTTTAGTACCCCATAGGTTGGGTTAGGCAG